CATGTTGTGAAAGGAATTGGAGCACCTACTCTTTCATTCACTCTATGAGGAGGAATAAAATGACACCACAACAGTGTGAGGATTCGGTTTTTGTGCACTCAAATCTTCGCCTCTTATCAAGGAGGAGTCGACTATACACAGAATGAGAGACCAAGTTATGGGACATTGGAGGAAATGTATTTGATTCATTGGAGGGTTTTGGTTTCCTTGAAATTACAAATCTTTCACTTAATGAGCCAGAGATGGAAGCTGTTTTATTCAATGATGAAGTTAATAGAAGTGAACTTTGAAGTGTCAAGTTTAGATACATAGGACTTTCTTTCTTTTGTTTTTCCTTTGCTTGCATTATGGATTGAAAGTTTATTTTGTAATTCTCCTATGTAATGGCATTAAAACAACTCATGGATTTTGCTTTGGTGTTGGCATTGTTGAATTGAAATATGATTTGTTTTTTAGTTTTGTAGTTCTCTTTTTAGTTTTGATATTTGATTTTAATTTGTAGGTTGAATCCTTTAACCATGATTATAAATAATAAAAAAAAAAAATCGACTTACTATAGCTGTACCCGTATCATACTTTTTTTGAGTTTTGCCGTATCGGCGTACCCGCACCATACTTGTATCCTCACCCATACTTCATAGCTAAGATCATACTTAGAGGTTATGAGTGCACAGTGCAACATACCTATAAGGAAGGGAATTTATGTTCAGATGTATTAACAAAAGTGAGAGCTAAGCAACCAGAAGACATCTTGGTGGTGAATGACCCACCAGCTGAGATCAGGAGTTTGCTTATAGCAGACATGATATGAATGTCTAGGGAGAGGGCGTAGTCCCCTTTGTTGTTTTACTTTCCAATGTACCAAAAAAAAAAAAATAATAATAATAATTTTTTGGCTGAACTTTAATAAGTTTGCTTATTTGTTGGATAATTTTGAAAAAAATCCACTAAAGTCCAAAATTTATTTAAAACTGAAGTATAAAAAAAAAAAAAGAAAAAAAAGAAGCTTTTCAATAAATTTCATCCAGTAGACTTTTCAAAAAAAATTAATATCATCTAGTATGAACAGATCTAAAAGGTAATAATAATAATAATAATAGAAACAATAAAAATAAAAAAATATTCTAAATTATAAGAAATTCACATACACACACACCCCGTCCCCCCAAAAAACACAAAAAAGAAAAGAAAAGAATAAGCTTGCTTGTTTTTTGCGGTTATTTTTGTATTGGACGATTATATCAGTAGTTCTTATATTTTGATTTTGTATTATTTTAATTTTTGTAATTTTAATTAGTTTAATTTTGACCATAAATTTATAATTTTATCTCAATTTAATCCACTTCATTACAACTGTGAGCATTTTTTTGATTAAAATTGCCAATATGAATAGCATGTATCATGTTTTTATAGGTAAAATTATAAATTTGTTCAATTTAGTAAGTTAACATTAACCGACTCAATTATTATTTTTCGTTAAAAATCCTAATAGATGTTATCAATTAGATCAAATTGACACAGCATTAAGGATTAAAATTAAGTGAATTGAAATTACAGTTACCAAAATGATATAAATGGCAAAATGAAAAGATTAAAGATATAATTTGACATTTTGTATTTAATAAACTTTTGTCAATTTGAAGTTAAAATTTTTTATTTTTTAAGTCTACCTAGATTAGATGATCCTAAGAATTTTAAAGAGTAAAATTTTTTGAAACAATTTAAAAATAAATATAATAACTAAAGATAAAATAAAGTCAATAAAATGACTTATGAAGTACTACAAAGTGCCCACTTCCAAGTGGCCACTTCCACACTTCACACAATGTACATATAATGGTCCTTCCAACCGAATTAAAAATGAGTGTAATGCTAAAAATCAAATTAAATTAAGTCTTCTGTTATAATAAATGAAAATTTTTCAAATCAATGATACTTTTACAAAGTATTTAAATTCATGAAAAAGTTTATAACTTTAATTATTAAAATTGATAAAGTTTATCATTGATTTACAATTTTTTTTAAAAACTTACACTGAAGTGCAATTTCTCCTAATTAAATAGGATTGATCACATGATTTTTTTTGGTCATTTCATTCTATCAAAAACTATTGACTTAGTTTAATTAAAGTCACAAATAAAATTAAATGGACACCACTTATTTTTGGTTAACCCAAATATGGCCTCATATATATATATATATATATATATTTAGATATGGAAGAAAATCTTCATTGCAAAACTGATAAAAGATTAGATCAATCTAATACAGCGGTATCACAAGATTTCAAAAGAAATAAACAACTTTCATAGAAGGAATGATCTAACACTCTAAATCAACGTACTCTTACTTAAGTTTATTGGCTTAAAAGGGATTGATTAATAGTGTTTAGAATTCGTTTGGGATGTGAGTTGACTTTTTAACTATTTTAATTTGGGGTTAAAAAGTCTCGTTTGGTATAGGTTTTTTGATTTTTTTAACTTTTGTAAGAGAAAAAATAAAATGATTATAGGTTAAATGTGACATTTTATCCTATTTGGCTAAAATAGCCTATTTTGTCTTATGGCTAATTTAGCCCAAATGGGCATCCCAAATGGAGCTTTAGTTGCAATTTTAAATTGTAGATTATTTGACCCCCCAAAAAAAGTAAGAATTTCTTAATTTATAATTTATAGTTTATTTATTTATTTAGCTTATTTGAAACCCTTATAAATGTATGGCCTCGTGGCCACCTAACAATAAAAAGACACGTAATCATTTTATCTTAAAAATAAAATAAATAAAGATTAAATGTGTCTCTCTAATATTGAAAATTATGTGTCACGCCTATTAGATAATTTTTAGGACACATAAAGAAGGACGCACAAAGAAAATTAACTTCAAGGGATTGGTCTAATGGGTGCAACTTGGGTTATGAGAGTGTGATTCTTCTAGGTCTCAAGTTCAACTCCCATTAGGTGTTATCAACTTCTTGAAACCACGCTCACGAATGCTGCTCGAGATTTGCCCGATACACATGAATAGACGCTTTGCGTGAGTCCTGAAATTAGTTAAGGTGCGCGTAAATTACCCAGTTACCTAGTCATGAAAAAAAAAAAAAAAATTATTTAGTCGTGAACACAAACTCTCTCTCTCTCTCTCTCTTCAATTCCTCATTCCATAATCCTACACTTCACTTCACCCCCTCTGTAATGTATTTCACAGCCACCAATTTCCTCAAGATGCCAAAAACAACCCTCCATTTTTCTCCTCTAGACTCCTATTCTTCTCCCCCACCCAACCATGGCATTACCTTATATTCTACTTCTCCTTCCATTTCTCACATTCCTTCCATCAGCCCTATCAATGCTCACCCTTGACTACTACAGCAAAACGTGTCCAAACTTGCTTGATATCATACAGAAAGTTGTCCTCGAAAAGCAACTCTACACCCCAACCACCACTACCGCCACGCTGTCTCTTCTTCCACGATTACATGGTGGAAGGGTGTGACTCATCCATCCTTATCGCCTCCGATTCCTTCAATAAGGCCAAGCATGACGCTGCATCAACCTATCCCTCCACAGTGACGAGTTCGAAGTCACCACCGGTGCCAAGACCGCTCTCAAGCTCACATGCCCTAGCATCGTCCGATATCCTTGCCATCACTGCCTGCAACTTAGTGAAGGTAGTCGGTGACCCATTTTACAAAGTCTGGCAGGGTCAAAAGACAGTTTGATCTCCAAAGCCTCAGAGGTTGAAGGCAACGTTGCAAGGCCAAACATGTCATCAACACAAATAATCTCCATGTTTAAGGCCAAAGGGCTTTCAGTACAAGACATGGTAGCATTGGGTGGTGCACATACCATTGGTTTCTCTCATTGTGACAATTTGCCAAAAGAATCTTCAACTTTAGACAGACTTCACAATATGATCCATCATATAACCATAAATATGCCCTAGAATTACAAAGAGTACGTGCTAACTACACTAAAAACCCAGCAATTTTGGCTTTCAATGACATGATAACTCTGGGAAAGTTCGAGAACATGTTCGACTTGAACTTGCAAAAAGGTTTAGGATTGTTGGCATCAGACTAGGTGCTGGTGTCTGATCGTCAGAATTTGCAAAAAGGGTTAGGATTGTTGGCATCAGACCATATGCTCATGTCCAATCCTTGGACAAAGCAGTACGTTGATTTGTATGAGGCGAACCAGGCTACGTTTTTTAATGATTTTGCTCGAGCAATGGAGAAGGTTAGTGTTTATAAGATCAGGACGGGAAAGAAGGGAGAGCTTACACAAAATTGTGATGCTTTCAAACCTACTTAATGAAGGACAACAAGAACAACAACAATAACATTTCCTAATCTGTATATAATCTTTTGGTAGCATAATTCAACTTGATTTTAAGGCTCAAGCTGGTGCTATGTTTAAACAAATCCAATTTTGACTGAGGAATACTAAGGTTCATTTCATCCATGTTCTGTCACATTTTCTTGTTCAATGAATAGTGTAAAATTGACAAGAAATGGAGAGAGAGAGAGAGAGAGAGAGAGAGACATCAACATAAGTACACAAACTGTGGATGAAGTTACAGACAAAATGTGAATAGATTATTCTGTGGAAAGTTAACCTATCAACACAACCCGAAAACCTCCTTTTTTTAGCATATCATTAAAATAAACTTTTTTTGGGGTCATCATATTTTGTACACTAAAAATTTACATCAAATTTCACTTTAGTCTCATTTTCTCGCTAGAGAAGCCCACAAAAGCTCACAAATTGTTTAGCAAATTCCTCACTACAGATCTGCTCTGTTCTTTGTAACAGCCTATCACGGAATTATCTGCAAGTTCAGGTCTCGTTTGGAAATAAACTATTTTAATAATTTTTTTACTTTTTATGAAAATATGTATAGAAAAATAAAGGGAGTAATGTGACAATTTATAATGACTTTATAACTTTTTAACTAAAATGTATAATTGACAAACGATATCTATCCATTCTTCAACTTAAATATGAAACTAAAAAACCACACAAGGCAACATTTAGGATTAACCGATTGGCTACAGGAAAGCATGGATGCAGCTTAAAATCCAGCCATTCAAACAACTTGTCACTTATCCGAGGCTCAAAAAAGAAACACCTAACCTTCCTCTCAACGCTACTACTAGCTCATAATTTGCAAGGACAAAATTACAGCAATTATCCCTCGGATTTACAAACCTCAAAACCTATACAAGGATATAAACAAGAAATTTCTGCTACCAAGAATCTCGTTGCCAATATTAAAGGACTAAAATAGTTTTATTCTAGATTAGTATGCCTCATTAATAGCCAATATATCCCCTAGATTCCTGTGGGCAGCAAAAATATGGTCTATCCCACAAAGCACACCCCAAGCGAAGGTTGAGAGAGAACTCCATCAATAGAATATGTACTTTACAGCTATGATGCCTGAAAATTACTGAGAAAAGAACAACAGAACGACAAATGCAAATGAAAAAGAGGAAAAAAATTTACAATAACAATGAGTTACGCGATTACTTTACAGGCTGCCTGCCATTCTGCCAGGACCAGTGTTTGGTTTTATTTAAAATTATGGCCTGCTGCAGGAATCACTTCACATATCCAATAGTTTTTGCTTACATGGATCGTGAAGCAACACATGAGCTTAGCAGACGCTACGCCAATCATATACAGTTTAAGATTCCCCATACTTTTTCGAAGAGACTAAACTCCTGCAGAGCATGATAACACCCATTGTCACCAGAAAAAGTCTAGAAACATAGAAACTGATCATAGAACTGGACACAACCTATCACATGAAGTGAGTTTCACCTTTTTGTGGGTTTCACACCACCCATGTGAGAGGGTTTGTATCTAGTTCTGTGATTGGTTTTTGTGTGTAACACAAAATGTTAATAGACCAAGAGCATTTTTCAAAATTCTCACCGGCTTTAGCAAGGTTTCCTCTTATCCACCTTTAAGTGAATATTATACCATTTTTTCTTCTTTGGCCTATCTCTTGTTGAAGATTTCTTCTCTCTTACTTGGTCATCATCTTTGGCATCCTTGGATGCACTTCTATTCTTGCTTCTACTACCACTCCTTTTCATTGGAGGAGCAACTGCGTAAGAAGCATGAATTTCATTCCTTTGCTTGAGAAGTTCATCAATCTGCAAAATCAAACATAGAACAAGGGTCAAACATACAATTCAGTGAGTTTTAGAACTACCAACGCGCTCCAACAATAACACCCCCTATAAAGTTCATAATCTAGTTCGGTAAGCATTTAACTCACTGCTCGCATTTCTTGTGCGTATCTACTGGTCATCTCTGTAAACTGTTGGAGGACCTGTTAACATCCACAAGAAAAATAAACAAAAGGAAAGCAATTTGTAAAGCTGATGCATACTGCAAATATTGATATCTAAACCTCTCTGTATTCAGTTTCAAACTTTGAGAGTTCCACCCTCTTAGACAAAATCTGAGTTTCCACAGCTCTAAGATTCTCCTTCTCCGCTGTAAACTGTGAAGCACAAAGAGCCTCTATGGTGTAGCTTGCACTTTTGAAAAAATTGTCGCCTAAAGAAATGTGTCAGAACATCGTCAGAAAATGGCAGTTAAGGCCACCAAAACATAGAAGCCAATCCCATACAGATCAGCACACTATTTTTGCCATCATTATAATACATACCAGTACATTTTATCGTGCCATTTTGGACTTATTGCTATAAAATGTTACAAATTTAACAATTGCTCTGTACTTGTAACTATTTGATAAAATCAACATTTCCAAACCTATTAGTGTAGAGATCCTAATTTTTGGTAATTACACATGAAACCCTGAGCCTTAGATTAATAGCATTTTAGCCCCTAGTTTCGTAAAAGTCTGCAAAATGGCCCAATAAAGAATAATTTTCCTATATATTATCATAATTAAATCCTAGAATACCACTTTATAATTGGAAATACCCTAAAACTTGATTTTTATTTATTTACCTCTTAGTTTATAAATTAATTCATACATTTTATTTTTATTTCTATTTTTTTTTTTGTTATTCCTTCATTTATTATTTATTTGAATATTTAATCATTATTTGAATTGAATATCATTATTTATTTGGATATGTACATAGGTATTATAAAAATATGTATATTAAAAATATGTATATATATATTGGTGGAAAATTGGTTGAAAAGAAAATAAATAAAATATCTAGATATTTATAAGTTTTCTTAGTCATTAAGCTAGAATGGTAGAATGGTCTTTTTAACCCAAATCTTAGCCTATAAATTGAGAAGCATTGTCTCAATTTCCACTCTCACATTTCACCAGCCCAAGGAGAGAGTGAGAGAGGGAAAGTGTGATTAGGGTAAAAAAAAAAAAGAAAAAAAAAGAAAAAAAAAAGGAAGAAAAGGTGACTCAAGAAGGTAAGAACATACCCCTCCCATGTCTTCTCCAATTCTTTCACCTATCTCATCCTATTGTCTAGATGCCCTTGTATATTAATGGTAAATAGGGCTTTTGAAGTGTGTGAAAGTGTAGATTTGATTTAGTGACTTTGTCTTACAAATTTGTCAAATTATGCACTGCTGCAACTTCTCTAATTTAAAAGAAATATCAAACCTATTTATTTCTCAAATTTGAGTTTAATGTAGAATATTTGGTGTGTTTAGAGCTTGTGATAATTTTATTAGCCCCTCATTGTGTGTTTTTAAGACTTGGATATTTTGTTTTAAAATCTGGTCCTGAGTTTCTGAAAAACAGTCCACTTCTTGCAATTTTATAAAATCCCAGAAAAATCATCTCATGTTGGTTCTTCCGTCAAAATTTAGAATTCTGAGTCCACTTTCCAATAGAATTTATTTGGGTGAAAATTATCAGGTAGATTGAGAGGAAAGCTAGTTTTCCCAAAGGGTGACAAATCTGGATAGATTTTCGAATATAGCTTGTAGATAAATTTCTAGAGGTGCTGTGCAAATTCTGAGAATTAGAACTGAAACTAGACAGATTGATTATTGTTTCTGTGCAATTTCAGCCCCTAATTAGACCTAGAAGCATTTTTACCAAAGCACTATTGTTAGCCATGCAGAACAGAACAGTGCTGGAAATGGTGTTTTATTGGGTTACTTGTCTCTAAGTGTTTCAAAGCATTCCTAATGTTGTTTGCTTGCTTTACCATACTTATGTATGCTTATCATGGGTTATATTTCCTCTCTTACGTTGGCTCATGCTCTTTTATATTACCAAATGTGATTAACTTATTTACGAAAAGAACTAATAAACGGGAAATGATAAGGGGTTGGCAATGGATGACGTTCAGTCGTGTTTCAGAATGATTTATGTAATATGCATGTGAATGGGATGAATTGTAATGGGATTAATACCAAATGACCTAAGTCTTGAGCAAGTGGTCTAAGCGAGCCCCTAGGTTGACCCGAATGTATTCAGACTCTATGCGGTGGTTTCAAGGTGTAAGCGAGCCCTAGGCACGATTTGGTATGTGCAAGGCGTAAGCGAAACATAGGCACGATTTGAGTGTAAGCGAGCCCACTTGTTTGGCCGTCCCTTTTGAGATCCACTAATGTTGCTGACCGGTAAATAACTGGGAGGTGGACATAGGTGGTAAGGTCTGCAAAGCAGCAAAAGGGGGAGTTCAGAATAGTCCAGTGTTCAACCTTATGGTTGGGTAGAAGGATCTCTTTGGGGGATTCTAGATGTTTAGTCAAACTACTAATTCACAGAACCTAATTGTATTGTTATATGCTATGTTACCCAGTTTGTTCTGTGTATTGTTGATTGATTGATAGAATGTATGAGAGTGCGTGTGTTTTTACTGGGCATTCCAAGCTCATAGCGTGTCATGCCAGGTGAGGAAGCAGTTTACAAGGAAGAAGTTTACGATGGTGAAGGTTATCTCGAAGGCAACCAAGATAAAGTGTTGGAGCCGTGGTTCACTTGAAGACTTAGACTAGTAGTTTTTTTTCTTTGACTTTTGGTGTGACAGTATTTTGTAATCCTAGTGCAGAACACAAATGAATTAACTATGGTATTAACTCTGCTTATATGTGTATATTAAGATGTTTTGGTTATCTATCATGTTTTAGTTGTACTTTTTTTTTTTTCACGGTCATGAATTTTGGGGCGTGACAATTAGTTACCTATTAACAGCAATTTACCAATTTTTACAAAATGCAACACTCCTAGAAAAATAAACATACATGCAAAAGATAATATAATTTTTAACATAATATAGAATTAATAGCTTTTAGTACTCAACATAGAACAAATACAATTTGTACACTTGGTACATTTTGAATAAATGGTCAAGGCTAGTGTTACCAAAAAATGCTAAGACCCCAGCGTTTATGTTTTGGAATGCAAGTTCTGAAACATATAGTACACTTTCATTCCAAAATGGTGATTTTAGTGATCCCAATTTTTTACTAATTTGTTTCATTCAATTTTTCTTTAGGAGGAAAACAAAAGACAATATAAATGAACTAAATAATAGAGTAGAGTTTTGATGGGACAAAATGTAAAAAATGGGCCATAATGCTCCCAAAAAATGTGTTATTACATAATCAATTAAAAGAATAATAGACTATTTTATTCAATAACTATCCATTTGTAAAATAGAAATAGCTCTCACATTTAGAAGTAATTTAAATTGTAATAGTGTGACTATACAAGTCTGCCCTCATCATACCACATATTAGAGTATATGTTGTTATTTTTATTGGAATGATCTGCATTCCAAGTGACATAAGTTAAGATATTCAAAGATATCAATCATTTTTTATTTTTCAAACGTTTACTTGAATTTTAATATTTTTATACTTTAACTACTTCTTTTTGTGTTTGAAAAAAAAAAATCACAACCGACTAAATATTAATTCTCTTGGCTGGTGCAGCCCGATATAGCCAAGTGTAACCCAATCACTACAATTCGGTATAGCCTAAAAACATAAGCACGATAAAAATCAAGCCCTTTACCATTTTCTTGCCGGTATGGTACAACATTGACATCTATGCATCCAACTGCCTTGTCAAGAATTTAAGAAATATATTTGGTTTGTCTTTTGAGAAAAAATTTCAAAAATTTGTTTGGTTGAAAATTTTTGAAAAAAAAAATCCAAAATCACTTTTTTCTCTACTATACATGAATCAATCACTTTTTCTCTCTCCTCTCTCCTTCTCTCCATCTCTCCATCTCTCACATCTTACACATCAATCAATCACTTTTTCTCTTACACCCATCTATTCAACTACAAAAAAAAAAAAAAAAAAAATTAAATCATTCCAAACTCCAAAACTATTTTCAAAATATACAACCAAACAAATTTTCAAATTTTGTAAACTCTTTCCAGAAAATTATTTTTCAAAATTGTTTCACAAATTCAAACCAAACACGGCCATAACTTGATGCAAGTCAACGAGCTTACCATAAACTGCAAACACATGGGTCCCAGCTTTTAATTCAGATACTTCACATGGCTGAAAGGCCTCCAATTTTTTGAAAAAGGCCATGTCTGGATCCTTTGCTGCTGCCATCTAAAACCATCATAGCAAGAAACCAAAGGTAAGAAGGATGAATAAAAATAAGTTTAAAAAAGAAAAAATTAATAAGATCATAAATGGAATGATCAACTCACAGAGTTAGATGCTTGATCCAATCGATAGACAGGAAAACCAAGAAAATACATCCCAGCAGATGTAAGCTTTCCTGTTTTTGCACTATCCTCCTACAGCAGTGGCAGTTAGATATAAGTTACTGAAACAGATGCTTCAGTTCCAAAGTCAATCACATGTCAATACATTACATTCTGGAACCCTATTGCATCATATCTGAATGAGAAGAACCCCGACAGGCTCAAAATGTGGTCATCTAATGTCCCGAAGAATTAGGAGATATGCTTCATTAGCTTTCCTGATCCACAGCTTGTAAGAATAGGACAGGAAAACCCCATAATTTTTTCTTTTATTTATTTATGGGTTTTGTTAATGAGTGCCCTTAGGGCACTTGATAAGAAGCTTGAAATGCTTGTACATAATGCATGAGAGTGGGTGCAACATGCAATGTACAATCAATTTAAACATTGTTAATCAATGCCCGGGGCACTCGTGAACCAAACCCTTTATTATTTATTTTTTAATAATTAAGATTTGTCAAAAATCAAACATCACAAAAAGGAACATGTACACATGATGTATACAAAAAAAAACCAACAGAAAATCACAAAGAATTTTTAACATTTAAAATGATAATCATAAGTTCATAACGCAAAATACCCTCATATTAATGTAGAAGTTCAGAACATGATATCCAAGTCTTGTTCATCAAATTTAACTCAAAACCAAATAGATATAAATTAATAATCAAGGAATCAAATGAGAAAGTCATAAAAGTTTGTCTTAAAAAAAAAAAAAAAAAAAAAAAAATAATGTAAGTTTTGGGGAGAAAAAAGAGAGAGTTTGAAGATTACACATTCAAATCATGTACATTTAAGATCTTCCCATAAATTCTGTGTCTCATTTTTTATGATTTTAACAGTTGAAAAAAAGAAAATGAGAAATGGACTTGCATAAAAAATCAGTAGAAAGTAGAAGCATAACAACCATTACGGCTGTGAATTTTTCTGTCACACCGCTATAACAGCCATAACGGGTGGCAGTAACCACCGAAACTATTACGTAATGGCGTTACCTAACAGTTGCAACTGATTTTTTAAACCTTACTTCTTCCCATATATCGTTTTTTGCTAGTCAAGGCTCCATCATGCACATCCATCGTCATGCCAAAATTCAATCGATAGCTCTTTGGCTTCTAAAGAGATTCACAAACTTTTCGCGATAATATCAACATCAAATTAAGGCCTTTCTGCTTTTCTGCCAACCTCTTGTGAAAGGCCATACCCAATACACAAGGCTCCCACCTATAGCAAGGTCTGGGAGAGGTGATAGCCAAGCAACTTAACCCCATTTTTGTGGAGAGGTTGATTTCCGTTACTCAAACCCATGCCACTTGAACTCACACCACAATGCTGAATCCAGAGAGTACTTGCCATCTCACCAAGTCACCAACAACAAGAAGTAGCTTGATAGTTGGTTTCAAATAAAACCAAGTTTATAATAAAAAGACAGAAAAAGAAATTGATTTACAAACTCTCTTTTCATGCACTACCATTATCATAAAGATTAACATGACAGATGCCTATGATCTAGCACACGATATTTTTTACTTTATTTTTAACATGTAACTATTCCACTTATAATAAAAGAGATTGGTTTACAAATTCTCTTTTCGTGTATTATCATCAAGATTAACATGATAGATGCCTATAATCTAGCATATAATATTTAACTTTATTTTTAACATTTAACTAGTCCAAATATTGGTCAGACATTTAGTGAGATAATCAAAGGGGAATAAACTAAATTACATCAATAATTTCCACATTAACAACAATCCACAATTGCCAAAAGGACACTTTATACCTGAAGTGCAAGACTGTATCCACCGTTTTCTACCTGATCAAAGTACAATAGCTGCACAAACCCCCAGCCTATTAGTAAAATCAATGGTACCAACTTGCTAAGATGTCTAAAATAAAACAATAGCTTCATCACACGATTTTGAAATCTGTAAGAAAATCAAGAAGAAAAAAATGTTTGTAGGAACTTGACATGTAAGAGATTTGGATTTTTAAGAAATTAAAGAAAAAAGAAATTTATGATGCATGTTTAATATTGTGAATGACAATGTCTGAAATCAATTCAAATTACAATTGGAACAGGTATTTTGGGAAGTTGGTAAAAAGCTGGCTTTTGGCTTTTTACCAAGCTTTTTAGCTTTTTGGAAAGTGATTTGGGAAGTTGGTAAAAAACTGGCTTTTGACTTTTTAGTTTAATATTTATTTATGGTGTCAAATCAAATTAAAATGACCAAAATAACCTTACCCAATATAAGAAATTTATTTTTTTATTTTTTTGTCATAGGCCCTAATTTGTAATTTTACACTTGCATTTTTGGCACTTGCCAAACCAATTTTGTTGCGTTTTTGGCACTTGCGTTTTTGGACATTTCGTCCAAAAACGTGGCTTTTATTGTGTTCCCAAAACGGCAAATAACAAACATGTACACTACTGATACTGATGTTACAATCAACAACCTAACATCAAGCAGCAAAAACATGTAATAGTAGCAATAACTAACAACAATCAAGAACTAAGTAGCACAAACATGGACATGTGAAACAACACGGACATGCCAACATGGCGATTTTCAAAAACTGTAAAATCAAAGTTTTGAAAAGCAATTGCGTTGGCCGTAATGATTGCGGTGACACAATAGCGGTTGCGGAGGTGTAAAGACTGTAGTGTAACGGTTGCGGTAACCGAAACCGTGATTTTTTTTTTCTTTCCGCACAATTTGAAGAAAACTTGTCGATACACATTTTTTCTTTTTCTTTTTCTTTTTTTTTTAGAATCACATTTATTGGGGTTTAAAATAAATTTTGATCAATTTTGTTAATTTTTAAGTATGATCCAATATATTTCATATTTTTAAATCACTATAAAAGAAGCTTTTTGCATTTTATTTCAATAGTTAATGATTTTAAGAATAATTGATTTTAAATGTCTACAAATTATATTTTATCAATACCTAAACTAACTGAATAAAAAATATTCACAATTATTAAAGGAAAGGATTATAAAATAAAAATTGAGCCATAAATTTTATAAAAAAAAAAATTATAAAGAAAAAAAATTCATATAAGATTTTTTCTTTGGTCTTGGATCACTTGAGTATTTGTTCTTTTTTGTAAGTTTTTTTTTTTTTTAAAAAAAAAAATAAAGTTATTCAGAAATGACTGTTACACGTGTGAATTTTTGTCACACCGCTATAGCGACCGTAATAGGTGGCAATAACAACCACAACCGTTACATAACGGTTGCAACCGCTTTTTAAAACCTTGTACGTAGTAGACTAGGACATGTTTTATATATCAAACATATGAATAGAAGCGTCTGTGCTTCTTAACTCAAAAATGTATAATGTCCAAGTTTTAGTAATGTTTTGTTGCAGGGCCAAAGGAAAAGTTCTAGAATAACAAGCCTAAGTGTTGGTACATGTGTGAAGAAAAAACGTCCCACATCAAAAGAAAAGTGAAGAGGAAAGGATCTTAATGTACATAATGGATTCACAACTTACGAGCTTAATTTTTTAAATGGCTGAGTTCCAAACAACATATGTTGAGCTCGGATGTTGCACAGGGTGAACTTCTTAGTTTCTCTCCCAATGAATTGGGCCATATTGATCATATTTATTGGGGTTTAAAATAAATTTTGATCAATTTTGTTAATTTTTAAGTATGATCCAATATATTTCATATTTTTAAATCACTATAAAAGGAGCTTTTTGCATTTTATTTCAATAGTTAATGATTTTAAGAATAATTGATTTTAAATGTCTACAAATTATAGTTTACCAATACCTAAACTAACTGAATAAAAAATATTCACAATTATTAAAGGAAAGGATTATAAAATAAAAATTGAGCCATAAATTTTATAAAAAAAAATTATAAAGAAAAAAAATTCATATAAGATTTTTTCTTTGGTCTTGGATCACTTGAGTATTTGTTCTTTTTTGTAAGTTTTTTTTTTTTTTTTAAAAAAAAAATAAAGTTATTCAGAATATTGTAAAAGGGTGTAACGGTGTGTAACGAGCCGTTATGGTACCGCTACGGCCGTTACGTAATACCGAAATGACTGTTACACGTGTGAATTTTTGTCACACCGCTATAACAACCGTAATAGGTGGCAATAACAACCACAACCGTTACGTAACGGTTGCAACCGCTTTTTAAAACCTTGCACGTAGTAGACTAGGACATGTTTTATATATCAAACATATGAATAGAAGCGTCTGTGCTTCTTAACTCAAAAATGTATAATGTCCAAGTTTTAGTAATGTTTTGTTGCAGGGCCAAAGGAAAAGTTCTAGAATAACAAGCCTAAGTGTTGGTACATGTGTGAAGAAAAAACGTCCCACATCAAAAGAAAAGTGAAGAGGAAAGGATCTTAATGTACATAATGGATTCACAACTTACGAGCTTAATTTTTTAAATGGCTGAGTTCCAAACAACATATGTTGAGCTCGGATGTTGCACAAGGTGAACTTCTTAGTTTCTCTCCCAATGAATTGGGCCATATTGCTCTGTTGTGAGCTCGCAAAATAACTCTTGATAGAGCAAAAAACCTCCAAGTGCACAAAAACAGTGGCTCTCAATAGCGTAGTGATTCTCGGTGTAGCAAGAAAAATCCAAGTCCCCGTGACATAGTCGCTCTTGATGGAGACGGTGGCTCAATTGATGGCAAGTAGTAGTTTGTAAATCATACTCTATGGAGAGCTTGGCTTGAGATATGGTTCACAAATGAGGGGAATATTATTGGTACATGTGTGAAGGAAAAGAGTCTCACATTGAAGGAAAAAAAAAGGTACAAAGGAAAGGGTCTTAATACACATTGGATGGATTCATCCCTTAAAGGCTTAAACTTTTAGGCTAGTATGAGTGCAAACAATGTATGTTGGGGCCAGTCCGAGTATTGCACAAGGTGGACTGCTCGATTTCTCACTGAGGAATTGGATATTTCAATTCCTCGACACTCAGTGGCATCGAGGCTGAAAGAGAGAATGACTAAGGCAGCTTTGCGCAAAACATCCACCAGATTGTCATAGTGAGGAACTTTACTCATTTTTACATGTGCACATCAAACCCCAAAAATTGACATGTCACATAACTATGAAATCATCAGAAGGGATTAAATAATACCTCTTCTAGTTACCTAATTCATCTTATAAGTTTCCTACAATAATAGGGTATAAAGATGATAAAATCTATCTTATGGTATGAGGTCAAATGAACTGTCAGCAGGCATAAGTTTTGAGCGCAAATATCATACAGTTTTATCATTTTCTGTTTTGTGCTTTGGTTGTTTCCCATGTTCCAAGGATGGGAGGAATGGAGAAAGAGAACTTAGAATTGAAACCAAAACTCCCACAGTGTAGTCTGTAGATCATATTAATGACTTCCATAATCCTAAATTTTAGAGTAAAACAACTATTTCACTCTATCTGTGCTTTGACTAACATGGAGGAATTACCAATTCTAGTTTGATAGAAGAACAATTGTAGCTTACGATTTGAAAGTAGAGCTAATAAGTCAAGTCTCGCATGCCTAAATAGCACATTCCACAGTTGATAGATATAAAGATTCCTGACGCTCATGAGCCACACACTTCTACAAACCTTAAATTTGTTTTTGTCTGATGATTGCACCCGGCACACAAATCCAGATCGTGCTTCCTCCTCTGTTATGCTAACAGAATAGAAATGAGCGCATTGTTTATCAACCTGTTAAACAATGCCAAAAACCCATATAAGCAAACAACGTTTAACAGGACGTGAATCATAAATAACAAATAACTTACCTGTCCAACATCACCCAAAAAATTAAATTAAAAAAAAAGAAAAAGAAAAAACAGCAGCAGCTAGCCTACCTTTCTACGCACTGGTTGTTCCAGTGGAAGCGGGTGAATTAATACTGCACCATTCAGTGCCTCCTCTAAGACAGTTGCTGATACTGCTGTTTTGATTGGCACGCCAAGTTTGCTAAATGTTGTACAAGAAGAACAGAACAGGAACTTTTATCTATACATAGCACAGGGCTCATACTTATATGAAAGAATGGTTCTACAAACAAAAGAAAAAAAATTGAAAATGACAAAGAAACAGTAATAATATGAACTTACCTAAAAAGTGCAGCAAACATGGTGTTAACAGCACCCAAACTAGAAAGATCTAGCTCCAAGTCTTGGCTTTCTGATTCAACAGCCTGAGCAGAGGACAATCATGTCACATTTAGCACTTTATCTTTGCATTAACTATTAAAAAAAGGTATCAAATAAAATAAAATCAGAAGTAATTTCTATTAACGGAATATCTAAAATACTGAAACAGTTTTTAATTACGGCATGAACAAAGTAATTTAGAGGGAACAACAAAAATGACCATATTGAATCCCAAACGGTCTAATTAAACATCTTCCTAAATATCTTACCTTAAACCCAGCTGTGTCATACTGACGCCGTTTATCTGGATCAGACAAAATATTATAGGAAAAAGCAGCCTCCTTAAACATATCAGCTGCTTGAGGGTCATTTGCATTCTTATCAGGATGGTACCTGAAATTGTATGATATTAGCATCATCAATAATTAATCTGCCGCACCAAAAAATAACCAGCCTCCACATGTGAGCATGCTTGTGCAAAGAGATAGAGAGAGAGTGAACATCTCCAATGCAATTTAAGATGTGAAGTAGGCCTAAGCAACAGGCCGAGCTTGAAATTTAAGGCTCAGGCCCAAGTCCATGCGCTTTGATCGGTCAACAGGCTGGGTTTGGGCGGCTCATCCTAGATTCCTAATACACAGGCCCTGCCCTAAATGTTGTGGAGTTTTCCAATTGTTAATACACAAAAACCGAAAGAGACAAACCTACAACTCAACAGACTTAGTAAACAACTTCATCATGAGATATCTTTCTTTCACTTTCATTGTTAAACAATTTCCTCAAAGTAAATAATTAGCCAGCCATAAGGCAAGGTTTTGTGTTCACCTTCCAAGTATATGACTTAACCTTCTCATAACATAAATATATTTTTACATGTATGTGCATGTGTGTGCATGCATATTAGTTTCACATAAAACTCCAAAATTGAAAAAAATTAAGCTTGTTACAGTTCATTTTGGCTTAAACTGTGCTTTGATGCCCCTATTTGTGCCTCATTTCCTTGAGACCTCCACCTAGGCAGAAACATGTAAGTTTCACTATTAAAGTGAGCTCACATGCCCAAAAGACACTTAATGTGCTTCTGTACAGAAGTAATACATGCAGACAAGAGCTACCACACAATGAGGAGTTAATTATGAATGCAATGCAAGCGCACGCACGCACACACACGCATCAAATTCTATCCTTTTTGTATTCCTTAGACGTAGATGTAGGAGTGAGCAGTACCATATATTTTCCCTTCAAAAGGAATAGGAGTACTGTAATTTAGATTAACTCATTTGAAATTCATTTGCCACAACACGAGGTGAGTGAATTCATTTATTTTCTTGTGCAATTGCATTAAAGTTTGTTGTTTCTAGCACAGTTCGTGAATATGCAGCCTTCTTCATTGAGGCTAAATCAGAGTCAACACATTCCCCTGCTTAAAATTTCTTGGGCCAGTTTTACGGCCCTTTGTTAAATTTTTCTTTGTAGGAAATTTATTCCACACACAAACACAAACATAAACACATTGGTAAACACCAACTCCTACAAAAGTTTTTTTTTTTTTTTTGAAAAACTAACTAGATTAGAAAAGAATTTGTCAGACAACTGGGAGACTGTTTCGTTGTTCTTTTTCTATCAAGATTCCGTAGCTATTAAAAAAGGCAAGTAAAAAAGTTTTTCAAACACTAGCTTTTACATCATCTAGGGCTTAAGTGAGGAAACAAAAAACTTCAGCTAAGATAAATAGAAAAATACACTATTCACATTAATTTATTCTTCATTTGAAGACCACAATAATGTCAAACAATACAGTATTCACATCACTTTGTTCTTCATTTGGGAACCAAAATCATATCAAACAATAAATGTTAGAGCAATTCTGCCAGACTCTATACTGTGCTTGTTAGGCATTTTACCTAATCAAACCACAATTTCAATGCTCCAATAGACTAGGCAATACACTAGGCATTATGCCTCATCTACAAGGGGACTAGCTACAATTGCAGAGCCAAGAGAGGTTAGGCAAATGATTTCTCTCTTTTAAGTGTCTACGTGGCCAACTATAAAGAGTATCGTTGGAGCTTAGTTGCACGAAGTGGGAGCGGGAGCAGGAGCGGGGGCGGGAGCCGGGAAGCGTGAGCTGATAGAAGTTTCTTAGGTTGGGAGCACCTCGGGAAGCGATAATATATATATATATATATTATTATCTATTATATTATTATATAACAAATTATATTTATTTATATAATAAAGTATATTATCTATTATATTATTATATAACAAATTATATTTATTTATATAATAAAGTATATTATCTATTATATTATTATATAACAAATTATATTTATTTATATAATAAAGTATATTATCTATTATATTATTATATAACAAATTATATTTATTTATATAATAAAGTATATTATCTATTATATTATTATATAACAAATTATATTTATTTATATAATAAAGTATATTATCTATTATATTATTATATAACAAATTATATTATTTATTATATTTATTATATGTTAGAAACGGGAGGGGGAAGACGACGCAGATCGACAAGAAAGAAAGAGAGAGAGAGACACAGAGAGAGAGAAGAAGAAGAAGAAGAAGAAGGAGGTGAGCACGATCGCGATGGCCATGGCGATGACGATTGAAGGCGATCGCGAGCAGATCGCGAAGACGACTGGAGGTTCGACGAAGGTTTGTCTTCTCACTCTCTTCCTTCACACACTCTCTCCTCTGTCTCTCTCTCCTCGTCGTATCTGACACCAACAAGCTAGGGTTTTTGTTCTTCTTCACGAACGATCCCATCTTGGCTAGGATCGCGTTTCTCTCTCTACGGAAACGCGATTCCTACACGTTTCTTTCTAAGAAACGCGGAATCGCGTTTCTTAGGAAGATTCGTCACCTGTTAGGACGATTCCTGCAACTAAGCGTTGGAGTACACATCAGCTAAAGTGATTAGGTAAAAATAAAAATCTATGCTTTTTTCTTTTTTTTCGTGTAGTTTCGATAGACAAAATGCCTCGTAGTGTTGGAGTTGTTTCCTCAATTCAATCTTTGAAGTTTCTTTTTTCTCTTTATTTTCTTTGGATATATTCTCACAAAGATAGCAAGAACTGAATTTGACACTGTTAGAAATTGGACGCCCATGAGGTATGACCCTTTGAACCTTTTGAACCTGAACCTTTTGAACCTTATCCATGTAAGTTTGAATTTGAATTCAAAACTTATTTAGATAACCATTCAGGATATCTATATTTATCATATCAATAGATATGGATAGATGTATAGATAGATATCGGTGGTTATATATGTGATTATATATTTTAGATAAAATATTGATATATTAGATATGTATATCAGATACGTTATGTGATTTTTACCCATAACTTTTTTTTCCCAGACTCTCTCTCTAACTTTCTCTCATTAAACAACGATCAAGCCATTTTGCATTGTGATTTGTGTGGGTGATACTCATTTTGTAGTATCATTTCACTGCTGAGTTCGTTGTTCAGATTCTGAAAGTATGTGATTTATCCACGAGATTCTTCGCTTCAGGCTCTACTAAAAGGTATGACTATGAAATTTTTCATCCGCTGCATTTTATACTTTGATTTACATTGGTATCAGAGCTCCCACATGCAGGTGTTCTCAGCAGTCGCACGGTGCATTGGCTAGTATGAGATTGTTCATTTTTGGGGAGATTGAGATAGAGATGTGACAGTGTCATGCCAACTCATGTGCGAGTGGGAGATGTTAGAAATTGGGCGCCCATGAGACATGACCCTTTGAACATTTTGAACCTGAACCTTTTAAACGTTATCCATGTAAGTTTGAATTTGAATTCAAAACTTATTTGGATAACTATTCAGGATATCTATATCTATCATATAAATAGATATGGATAGATAGATATTGGTGATTATATATATCATTATATATTTTAGATAAAATATTGATATATCATGTGATTTTTACCCATAACCTTTTTTCCCAAGACTCTCTCTGACTCTCTCTCAGACTCTCTCCCATTAAACAACGATCAAGCCATTTTGCATTATGACTTGTGTGGGTGATACTCATTTTGTAGTATCACTCCACTGCTGGATTCGTTGTTCAGATTCTGGAAGTACGTGATTTATCCACGAGATTCTTTGCTTCAAGCTCTACTAAAAGGTATCACTATGAAATTTTTCATCCACTGCGTTTTATACTTTGATTTACAGACACCAACTATCAGAATCAGATACAATGTGAAGATGCTTATCAAAATCCTTAATTTCTAATTATGATTTATACAAATTTCACAAATAACTTGAACATGAATTTCAACTTTGAATAACACAAAAATAAAAAAAATAAAAACACACTTTCAAAGTTGGAAAACTCCACAAGGAACCAAAAAAATAACATACTTGAGAGCCAATTTACGATACGCGCTTTTGATTTCCTGATCTGTAGAGTTCTTTGAAACGCCGAGAACCTCATAGGGGTCTCGCAGGAGCTGCTTCGACGAACCGTGCCGTTCCGATTTCGATCGGTGAGCCGGCATTTTTGTTTCACAGCTGACGAACCCAAAACCCTAGAAATTACTCACCAAGTTAGTTACAAATCTCACATGAATTCTCGAATCTGACACAAACTATAAAAGTCGATTTTTTCAGAAACTTTCCGGGAAAGTTTGTTGTTTGGAAGAAAATTAAAAACCCTGAAATGATAATTTATTCGACAAAGAGTTCATGGGATCTCAAAGCTCCCAGCTTTGAGGAGACAGAGATAGCATGTAGAGAAAGAAAGGAGAGAGAAAATAAGAGGGCTGGGCGATAAATGGGAGGGGATTTGGGTGTGGAATTTTAGGCTTGGCTTTTAAGACGCTATTTTAATGATTTTTTTAATTTTTTATAAATTGGTGTATAAAAAAATATAAGGCATGACCATTTATAGCGATTTTTTTAAATTTTTAACTAAAATTTTAAATTGTCAAACAAGGCCCTTCAGCTTGTTTGGTGCACTATAAAAGTGTTTTTTTGTTTTGTTTTGTTTTGTTTTATTTATTTATTTATTTGAGTAAATTACACTGACATCCTTTGACGTTTCTGTTTAATATAGATTCTCTCCTCACGTTAAAAAAATTACATTTTTCTCTCTGAGATTTGTAATCTCTTTACAAATTACTTCATGGATTGCTAATATCTTACCCTTAATTTTTTTAAATAACCCTCTTACCCTTTTTATGATATTTTTTTATCTATTAATATAATTTTTTATTTTTATTTCCATCATTATATTTAGATTAGACCAATTTAATCTAAATACATTTTGAAAGTATAAAATTTATACAAAAATTTTTTTAAAAAAATCTATTGAATACAAGAAAATAAGATAATGTACTAAATTTTTTATTTATTTATTTTTTTGTATTTGGTGAATTTAAAAAAAATAAAAAAATATTATTCTTCTTAAATATATTTAGATTAAGTACATCTAAAAAATAAAAAATTTGCTTAAAATATTAAAAAAATAAAGAAAATTAAAAATATATATATAATTTTTTGTGTGAGTTAAATCAAAGAAGATGATTGTTATTTTCCTTAAAATGACATGAACAAAATAAACGTATTATTTTAATATTTTATATATATAAGGCTAAGGGATAAATATGTCATTTTAATCTAATAGGAGGATAAGTATAATTTTTTAAATGAGATGGAAGAATCTGTATTAAACAGAAACCTCAAGGGGTGTCACTATAATTTACACTTATTTTTTTATATTTTTTGGGTCTCTTATTTCTTTATTTTTTTAATATCTTTTTTTAAAAAAAATTAAAAAGCACATTTATTTAAATTATCTCAAACAATCACTTATTTTTTTATCTTCTTGTCAAAAAAAAATTATTAAACAAAATTAATTAAAAAAATAAAATTTATAGCTATTTTTTTATACAATAATAAAATTATCTAATTTTAAATGAAATAAATTTCTAACATCATAAAAATTTATTGATTGATTTAATGATTTATTAATAAAATGAGTTATTTGTTATAAAATTATAAACTTCCAAAGACAAAATGTAATTTGAATTTTAAGCCAACTTTAAGGAGTGTATTTATTATGTGAGCAGCTTGCCTCTTGTCCTTAATCGGATTAGACGGTATTGTCCGGCCTGTGGAGGCCAACCACAGGTCCCGTTTTAATAATCCAAACCGTTCAATGTGTAGAACTCGTCGAGTACTATATGCTTATTAAAAATCACATTGATTGAATATCGATAACTATATGATCAAATCAGTTTTGTATAAAAAAATGGATGGTGAACAAATTAACGGTTGACAAAAAATTGATAAGATCATATAGCTATCGATATCCGATAAATGTGATTTTTTACAGGCATATAATACTCGACGAGTTCAACACATTGAACGGTTCAGATTATCAAAACGGAGCCATGGTAGGCCTCTATAGGCCGAACATCACCTTCCAGTCTGATTAAAGACTGGAGCAAGCTGCTCCCTTCTTCTTTATTATTATTATTATTATTATTATTAGTTTATGCATCTCCTAAAATTCAAATGAAAAATGTCAGATCCCAAGATTTTTATCAATTTTTTTTTTACTGTACAATCACAGGGTGTGGGACTTACATGAGTGTAGACCACATACCTGTATGTGTGTTCGGTAAAAAATGCAATCTACTTGGCATAACTTGAGTCGGTGCAATAATTTGAAAATTTTGGTCAAAATTTCCTTATAATAAAATTTTTATACATTAAAGTATAAAAAAAAATTCCTGAAATGTTCAGCATGTATTACTATTATCAAAATATCCTTAGTAAATAATTTAGGGATTGTTTAAGGTGTCCTAAATAAGTACACTTTTTATCTTTTTGGACTAAAAAGTTGAGGAAAAAAATATGAATGTTTAAATTAATTTTTTGACTTTTTTATGACAAAATGTATATTAAAAATTGTATAAATAAGTGTGTATTAGAAGATAGTGAAATATGCTGTACGGGTTGGACAGTGCAGTCAGCTGGGTAGGAGATAGGAAAAGATTGCCTCCTTTTCGGGCTTTGATTGGACGGTGTTGTTCGGCCCGTGGGGACCCACCACGGGTCCCATTTTTCTCCTTGATCTCGTCGAACTCATCAAACCCATGGTGGGGCCCCACAAACCCAACTTTACCATCCAACTTAGTGAATATACACATGTAATTTTTTTTTCCTTTCACTGCATTTGCTTTGACGTCAGTACCTAGAGTGGCGTGAAATTGATTTGTATTTTAATATTATGTATATTAATTTATATATATATATATATATTTTTTTTGTGAATAGTGATAAATTTTTAACTTTTTTGATAATTTTTTGGATTTTTTAAAAGTTTCCAAACCAAGCCTTAATATTTTAAACTTTAAAATGATATAACTTTTGATCTAAATGTCGATTTTTAATAAAATTGGTATTTTTAGAATTCTTTCATTAAGATATATTAAACAAGATCTATCTTGACTATGAAATTCTTTAAATAAAAAAAAATTACTGCTGAAATTGATGTAAACAGTAATATTTTACTCTGTTTCACATAAAATTTTACTGTCTTCTTGAATAGAGCATTAGTAAAAAAAAACAAAATATGAATTGAAGGAAATTCTACGAATTCATTCACTACAAGTTTACAAATAAATCAACAATAATTTAACATATTTGAAGAAAGCTCTACAAAAAATAATCAACAAATTCAATAATTAACCACACAAAAAAAACAAACAACATAGCGCAGCCCAAAAAACAAAAGATATAGAGAAGTTGAGCAACTAGTCGACAAAGCACCACCTATAAAAAGGAAAAACAAAAAACTAGAACAATCCAAGAGAAACAGATTCAGCTGACAAATCAGAAAAATTTTCTTAGAAAGATGCTAAATATTCCCAATTTACTGTAAATGGTGGAGGAAATCATCAACCCAATAATGAATATCTTGAACTTTGAATTTGGTCCAAAGAATAGCTTTCACTTTGATGTTTTCAACAATGGCCAAAAAGTTTGGAGTAGTATTCTCAAAGATAAAGTTATTACTTGTGGTCCAGATTTGATCATTAAACAATGGTTAACAATGATCATTAAATGAAATTTCAACGCCAATTGCTAACATATTTGATACAAATTTCTGAGATATATATTAAGGGTAAGATTGTCCAAAAAAATGAAAAAAAATTATTAGGTTGTGTTTGGTAGAGTTTTCTAAATATGATTAAAGAATAGAGTTGTATTTTGAGTTTGTGAGTTTTGGAATTATGATTTGAGCGTGAAAAATTTATTTGGTGAATGAGTTTTAAAAAGAATTTTGAATTGAGTGAGAAATTTTTGATGTGACATATGATATTTGATACAAAAACTTACAACTCATAACCAAATACACAACTCAAAATTCTATTAAAACTCATAATTTTTTCACTGTTTTGTTTTTCTAAATCCTCTCAAGGAGAAACATAAGGCACCAAAGGGGAAAGGATTAGAAGGCAATAACATAGTCAATATCAAGGTTTTATTGACAATCAGACGCTTCCGTTTAACCGTTCATCGATGGATTCAGGTATGTCATTTTGTCTTGATTTCTTGATGATATAGATGATCCGAAACATGAAGTTTCATGTTCTGAAATTTATATTTACACACAAATAAATCAACAATAATTTAACATATTCGAAGAAAGCTCTACAAACAATAAACAACAAATTCAATAATTAACCACACACAAGAAAACAAACAACATAGCCCAGCCCAAAAAAACAAAAGATACAGAGAAGTTGAGCAACTAGTCGACAAGGCACCACCTAGAAAAAGGGAAAACAAAAAACTAGAACAATCCAAGAGAAACAGATTCAGCTGACAAACCAGAAAAATTTTCTTAGAAAGATGCTAAATATTCCCAATTTACTGTAAATGGTGGAGGAAATCATCAACCCAATAATGAATATCTTGAACTTTGGATTTGGTCCAAAGAATAGCTTTCACTTTGATGTTTTCAACAATGGCCAAACAGTTTGGAGTAGTATTCTCAAAGATAAAGTTATTACTTGTGGTCCAGATTTGATCATTAAACGAAATTTCAACGCCAATTGCTAACATATTTGATACAAATTTCTGAGATATATATTAAGGGTAAGATTGTCCAAAAAAATGAAAAAAAATTATTAGGTTGTGTTTGGTAGAGTTTTCTAAATATGATTAAAGAATAGAGTTGTATTTTGAGTTTGTGAGTTTTGGAATTATGATTTGAGCGTGAAAAATTTATTTGGTGAATGAGTTTTAAAAAGAGTTTTGAATTGAGTGAGAAATTTTTGATGTGACATATGATATTTGATACAAAAACTTACAACTCATAATCAAATACACAACTCAAAATTCTATTAAAACTCATAAATTTTTTTTAAAAATTCAGTAACTATGTTTTATTGAATATATAAAAATTAACATGTGGCAATTACAAAAAAAAAAAAAAATTTGTATTGTTCCGATCAACCGACTGGACAACTGGTACGACGTCCAGTGAGACGATCGGTTAGTCTAAATTTTTCTGCCTTCAATCACGTTTTCAAAAGTAAGTATGAAATTAATTTTTAAAATTTATAAACAAAGGCCATGTTCAAATCAGCTCTGAAACTAACATTCTAGAGTTGTACCGAACACGGTCTTAATTTATCCTACATGAAGGAAGTGCTTGTTGCTTAGGAGATTTAGAAAGGAAAATGTTTTAGAATATTTTTTATACACTAACAACTTAGGATGTTTTGGTTAAATTTCCCCAAAAATTATCATCACGGTTGTCAATCCAATCATATCCTCTTACTTTTT